TTGTGGTTTTGTTGTGGAGATTGTGTGAGAGGCGTTTGGATAAAAATACCCTTTTCTTTCTGCCAACCCCCTTTTCAAACCATACATATGTTTCCAAGAGGAATTGTCTTAAAAATGTAATGTGCAGGTTTGAAATAAATAAATTTATTGATTGATTGATTGTTTGAAAGTTACATCCCTGAAATAAGGTAGAAAATGCACGGAAACGCATACACATGATGAACCCTTACTATAATGAGAGAAAGCAAGGAACATTATAGTTAGAAACGACGTGTATGCAACAAAAAGAGATTTCTGTTAATTAGTAAATGTTTGTTGACTTTGTGCCTGAGGACTCTAATGCTTATTCATGTTATTATTAATCCCATACATGCGTTTATGCACATCCTCCGGAGAAAAACCCAGAGAAACCCTTATGAAAGTGTAAATCAGAGCGTGGCGCCATAATGTCATAATGCATGATCCAATTGAAGCTGCAGGGAAGTGGCCGAGGGCTTATGGTTCCACTGAGACCCAGAAAAACACTAAATGAAAAAGTACTTTGCTCTAAAGGTCTCTATTACGGTGTTCTCTCTTATCGCGCGCAGAATTACAGCAGCGGAGAAGGATGCAGCTGTTACTGCTGTCAAGCTGTGTGGAGTGTAGACTGGAGAAAACATTACACTGAAAGACACATCAAAACTACCATCTTGGAATCAGGACTGTTTTCTGAGCTAGAAATAACAAACTACGGCCTTATTAACCTAACTCTAACCAGAGAGACCAGAGATCAGAGAGAGAGACCAGATCAGAGTGAGAGTCCAGAGAGAGGCTAGAGAGAGAGACCAGAGAGAGATTAGAAAATCCAGACTCTAGCTCTTAGAATAATCAATGACTCTTCTAGACCCTTGAAAAGCCATGTTCTAGTCTCTTTCCTCTGGCAGAAGATACTAATGGTTGGGATGCAGGACCTCTGGATACGCCGACATCTTCTTTCCACAAGCTGTTATCAGTCACTTTAAGCACTTTAATGATATTGTGCTTATTTTGAAGCAGTATTTATTGATTAGGATTCAAATGTGATAATTGTTTCTATACTTTTTAGCTTGTTATAGTTACTTACTTTTTTAGCTTGCTTCATTTATGTACTTCATTTATGTACTCTGGTGCACACTGGGGACTTCTGCACATGTATTGCAATGTGTTTTTACTGCAAATGGAAAATAAGAAGAATATACTTCTTATTGGCCTTTCTCTACTCTACCAGGCCAAGTAGGACTGGTGGAAACAGAGAAAAGGGCTGATTTTAAATGGGAATGGGGTAAAGGGGTCAAAGGAGCAGACTGGCCTGATGGGAAGTTAGAGCCTATATTTAAAAAAACTTTAAAACATAAAAACCAAAACATATTTGGCTACTTTCACACCAACATCAAGAACTTGAGGTAATTTTTCCAACCAGTTATGCTGTGACAAATCATCAGTCTACATGTAGGACAGAGCTGTTTTCTGATTTTCTCAAACAGAATTATCACCTCCAAAAGACTCCAGGGAGATTCTCCAATCAAATGACATTTCTTACAGCTGTGGTCTTGATTTTCCTTTTTTGCATTTCTTACACCATAACATACTGTGTTTATTAAATTGTAAACATGTATTATTTTTCATCTTTGTAAGAGAGAGTCCTGTGAGTCTAAATATGTGACAGATTTTGGACCAGAGATAGACCAGAAATAAGGACCAGAGAAGACCAAAGAGACCAGAGAGGGACCAGCAAGAAAGATGATAAAAGTACATGTATGTGAAAACTAGTGACAGTGTTAAGTCCTCTGAGATAACTACTGTTGTGATTTAGCGATGTACAAGAATGCATTGAATTGAACTGTGTTCAAATGTGTTTGTTTTGAAAGTTATGTTTCCCAGTTAAATGGCCAAAAAACGAATGAAGAAACACTAAAATTAACATAAACGCTGCCTTCTAATCCAACATAATTCAAAATGAGAGTTCCCTGAGGCCATAATCTTGCTTTTTACTGCTCTACAAAGATCCTCATAGTCAAGGGAGGCTTGCGGCTGACTCGACGCTCTGTTGTCTGATGTGAGGCCCAGGTTCGATCAGAGGTGAAGAGTCTTTGGAGAAAAGGGGTGTTTTCTGACAGCACGGCCCCCTGGGACAGGAGCCATCAGCAGCAGCCAGTTCACACCAGGCTATTGTTTGCAAAATGTGTGAGTTATAAGATGACAAAAGCGCTGCCGGAGATAAATTGAAAACCGATGAAAGATTTTCCACAAGGGTTTGGGGAATGCAGGGTATTTAGCATTCTGCGGGTGGATGCAAGTGACTTTGTTATTAAACTCAACGTGGTGACGCAGCCATATTGATTAAGCCATAGCGCAGAAATATTCAGTATAACTGACTGACACATTGCTATCAGAGGACAATAACCAGGAGCTCCAGTCCTCCCCTGAAAACACCCACAGTGCGTATCGCATGCTCATGCCACAACCCTCCTCCTCCCCATTGCCTCCTCAACACTTTCTTCGTGGCGGTTTATCACTTCAAATTAGAGTTGCACCGATCGATCGGTAGCCGATTATAATTGGCCGATCACGGCTTAATTTGCGTGATCGGTGATCGGTGAAATGTGTCAATCAAAAAGACCGATCAGATGACATGAGGATTCATGCGCACAAGTTACTTTCTCTCGTCAAAAATGCGTAAACAAGCACTCATGCAGCACTAAGTAACGGAGATTCTACAGCGGCAACAACCACACAGTAATGACGTAAGAAAGAACACGAAATATGCACGAAAGTGATGGAATTTATTCCCCTCTGCCACCAGCGCTTGTCTGTTGCTGAAAGCGCTGGGTTCAAACCACTCATGTCCTCTGCTTCAATATGCCATCGCTGAGATATCTGACTGATGTCTGCCTGTCGCAGCTTTACCAAACTGTATATTCTCACATTGACACTCCAGAGCATGGATCTATTATAATAACGAGCCAGAGTCACACCGCGCAGGCACAGCACACACACACTGAACACACTCAGCAGCGAGACGCTGCCGTCAGGCAGAAACACCCCGAGTCAGGACTTTGCATGTTTTGTTCACAGAAATATTGAATTAAGATGAGTGTAGTGGTAGTATAGACAGTCCTACAGTGTCGCAGATTTAGCGTTACTTACTACGTAGTTGCACATCGGAGCAGACAGCGCTTGTTTATTGGAAGGAAAATTAAAGCCGCTTCCCTCCTTTGGCCAAAGCAGCGTCTTTCCTCTGCGCTCCATGCAGTGTAAGTGTAGACAGTGAGAGTTTAGCGCAACTATTTAGCGGGACTATTCAGGATGATAAACGTAATAAACCCCTGCAAATGCTGAGATGCTAATATTACTGAAGAAAAAACATTGCCTTAACTATCTCTTTTTAATCAGTTTAGAAATGCAGCATATACAGTATTGCTGTAATTCATTTTTTTAATGTATCTCAATGCTCTGTAACGTATACCTGTGGTTCCCAACCATTTTGACTTGAGTACCCCTAGGGCATTTTATCTATACTACCTAGTACCTTGACGGTTTTGAAAGATTAGTTATAAAGTGAATAACTTGTCCATTCATTTATCACTAATATTTTCAATAATTGATCGGATCGGCAATGATCGGTATCGGCCGATCAAAATTTTAATGATCGGTGTTTGTGTTTGGCCAAAAAAATCCGGATCGGTGCACCTCTACTTCAAATGCATTTTTTATTTTTTTAAAGTATATTATGTCAAACATTATATAATAGTAATAATTATAATATTAAAATAATAATAATAGTAATATGAATAGGTTTTACACAGCGCTTTTTAGGACGCCTACAGCTGCTTCACATGTCATTATTCATTCACTCCAAACTCAGTAGTGATAAACCACTATCGTAGCCACAGCTGCCCTGGGGCACACTGGCAGAAGTGAGGCAACCCGGATGTCCCATTGGCCTCTCTCTCAATCACCCTCCATTCACCAGACTCATTCTAATGTGGGTGAAGTGTCTTAAGATTTAAGAGATCCTTTATTCGTCCTACAGTGGGGAAATTACAGTGTTGCATCACAAGTTATAGAACAGTAGGAAAGAGGAGCACACGGCACAAGTTAAGTGACCAATAGCTATACTCATAAAAATAAAACAAAATCTCTAACTCTATCAATAAAAGTATAAAATCTCTATCTTGAAAATAATAATAAAAGAAGTGTAAAGGTTTTACATTTGGCAAAATAAGAGGCAAGTATAAAGTACTGTGTATTCTAGTGCAAGCAAAGTGTAGTTATATGTTAGCATCTGTACATTAGCAGCAGTGTGTTTACATCTGTACATTAGCAGCAGTATGTTTACATGCAGTACTTGCAGTACACAATCACATTTTGGCACTTTACAGCTGCAGCTGCCTCACTGTGACACCTGGTGTTCCCAGAGGTCTACCATCAAAGTCCTAACCAGGTCCTGCCCTGCTGCCCAATTGTCACTATGGCACCTGTAGAAGCAGTGAGTAAAGTCGCTTTCTTGTCAACCTTCCAGATTCCACAGTTTTATAGTCTCTTCTTGAGGGAACAGGAATTGGTCACGGCTCATTTTGTCACATGGTGTGGAGATAATCATGTGTCCAAAACTAAAGACATTAAAGGGGACTTCAGGCAAAAGCACCCAGATCACAAGGCCAGCCTCAAAAATGTAGAAAATGTGGACTCATACAAGTCAGTTGTGAAAAGATGCAAGCAAAGAATTCCCCAACTGCACAAACAAAAGCCTTTTAAAGTGTCAAAACCATTCATATGTTCTTAAACCTTTTATTTGATTGAGTCTTGCAACTTGTATCTGTTTTATGGTTTGTCAATTAAAGATAAAGATGCACTAAAAAACATGGTAAAAACGTGCCATATCCAGCCGGGAGACCTGATGCTATGTCAGTGCTTTAGCTTGTTAAACTTTTGGCTCGGCTAGCCTAGCGTAGCCAGCTATCTCTCATTGTGTGTTATACCTTTTTGAGCAACAGCACCCCGTCTTGGCCCGTAGAGCTAACATGGAAGCTGTCCCCGTCCTCCTCTCCTGCTACAATGGAGTACTCCACCACCGCGTTGTCTCCGGTGTCTGCGTCCTGAGCGCGGATCCGGCCCACCGCGGAGCCCACCGGAGCCGTCTCCGGGACTCGCAGGTGGATGATACCTGCAAAAGCACAGAGTCAAACCTAGGGCTGCACCTTGATCTCCGGTAATTGTTCACGTAGAATGTTTCATCGCAGTTTAGAAGCAAGTAATATTTTTACTGATTGGTTCAACATGCATACACATTATTTGTCCCTGTTCCTGTGGTCTCCCCCCTCACATCTGTGTCTGCCTGGAGCTGGGGAGTCTGGAGTCCCGGTCTCGTCTTTAGTTCAACCCGCTACATACATGCAGCCTCATCATCCTCACCATCCTCACCTCTCCAGTATAAAGACCCAGTTCACCCTTAACCATGTGTGAGACCATGGGGCTCTTCATCACATTTGTGTCTTAAAAGCTGTACAGGCACAAATGTACAAGCATATAAACCTGTTATAGAGTACACAGTTATCAATTCCCTAAATCACAACAGCAGGTGTCTTGGAGGACTTTATAGGACTTTCGTCAACAGAAGATTGGCGAATCAAAAGTTTCAACAAAGAGCGGTACTAACTTTTCGTGAAGCGTGGCGGGTTGTCGTTGACGTCACTCAGAGTGATGTTGACCGTGGTGGTGGAGGCCAGACCCCCCAGCTGACCCCCCATGTCTTTGGCCTGCAAAAGCACCTGGTACTCCGCCTTCACCTCGCGATCCATGTTGGCCAGAGCTGTGCGGATCACGCCTGAAAACATTTTTATTTTCCTTTTTATGTCACTGTTTTTCCACAAAGTAACAAAATGTTGGGTGAGATTGAAGGAAACTTATTGGTACCAAATTTTAAATCCATGTATTCATATATTGCTGTCATTCAAATACTTTAAGGCTCGGACCCCCAGAATTCTGCTACACGTCCCAGAGAAGTCCTTTTGGCAGCTCTCATATACTGCTCATATACTACAATCTTTGTCCTTAACTTAGATACATAAATAAAGTATATTGAGTGATTCAGTCCGTTTTTATTTTCCTACAATTATATTATCTTATGTCTGATACTGCTTTGTTCCTGAATTGGTGATATATGGATGATTCAGAAGATTCTTACTGCTTTTTTTGTGAAGGAAATAAAATCACTAGTTGATCTGAGAGTCCCACCTCACATCACTGTTTTGTGCACATTCCCGGTTTAGCGTGGCAGCCCCTTCTCCTCGCTGAACTCGCCTTGAACCTCGGCTTTACACTCTGGACTTGTCATCTCTGTCCAAAGCCCTGTCTTGGGTGTTTCCCTTCAGCTACAGCCATCGTTTCATTGTCAATGACTACTTGAGCTATTGCACTACTGGTTAGATGCTAAACTGCATTTTGTGTTCTGACTTTGTAATGACAATAAAGTTGAATCTGATCTAGTCTAATATGATCTAAATTGTGGATGTTAACATTCTGAAAAGTTTGGTCTGAAGCCATGCGCCATACCCACAACAGGCACAGGTGGGCAGGGTACCTAACTACTGTACTGTTCATACTGTTCATACTTTCTTGAGTTCAAGCATCCCTCACATTAATGCAGTTCACCTTTCGTGGCTTTGCAACTTTTCATGATTATTTTACAGTGTCCTTCTCATGCTCCACGTGTAAAGTCCAACATCATATAACCGCTACTATAACATGACAGTTACCTTTATTTATTGTCAGGAAAAAAAAAAATTTTATGGTTTCACTGTGCTGACTAATGGAACGTTTCAAGTGACCTTTTGTTCCAGTTTCTGCTGCTGGACACTTGAATTTCGGCAACAGGGGATTAATAAACTATCAATCTATCCATCTCTGGTCTCTTTCTCTAGTCTCTCTCTGGTGTCACCCATTGTCTTAGTCTCACTAACTAGTCTTAGTCTCACTAACTAGTCTTGGTCTCACTCATTGGACTTGATCTCACTCATTGGACTTGATCTCACTCATAGTTTTGGTCTCACTCACCTGTCTTGGGGTCCACAGAGAAGTAGGGCTGCCCCTGGAGGACGCTGTAGACGATGCGTGCACTGCTGCCGTAGGTGGGGTCATCAGCATCAGTGGCTGTGACTTGTGTTACGTATGTGCCTGAAGAGGGAGAGACTGTTAAAGGGAATCAAATCAATCCATCTATCATAAAACCAATAATCACAGTCAAGGGTTTAAAACATTTCCATTAATCTCATATATTATAAGCTGACCTGGACCCTTCTGCATCTGCAAGACAAAAACCTCACAAACCCAATGGGAGAAAATCATGGATCTATTATAATAACTGGATAGGGTTTTAATTCAGCTTGGAGCTGAAGAACCCACGTGTTCAGGGGATTCTCGCGGTACTGCAGACTAAACCAGACAAAATTCACGTGGGCTGCCCAGAAATTTTCCCCATAGAACTCAATGTAAACTAAAACAGCTCGACCTCAGCTGACAGAGAACCTACAGCTTTCATTAAGGTCGGATTTTGTGGGGATTTTGGTGTCCCTTGTCATCCTGAACTTTTTTTCTTCTTAAATCCTTCGGTTTTCTTTAAATCCACACTTTAGTGCCACAAACTCTGCTCGTCTGGCTCCCGCTCTAACTCCCACTCTAGCTCCGCTCTGATCAGCTCTGATTGGTCAGAGCGCGGCTGAGCCCCTCTGTGCACGTGCATGAGGCCACACATGTGTATTTGGCGCAACGCATCATGGGAGATAATCCACTGCACAGAACCAGGAGGACCAGAGGATGCCCAAATACAGACGAGTTCCGCTAATATGTCTGCGACCGTGCCGGTGTAACAGGCCGTTTTAAACCCCCTGGCCAGTTTACACCCCCGGGTTAAAATAGCCTAGGCCAGAATACCCCCCGGGGTTTATTCTGGCCTAGGCTATTTCAACCCCCCTCAGGCCAGATTAACCCCCCTCTTGTTTTATCTAATAATAATAAAATATACTGTTACGGCCCTGAGCCTACATATTGCTCACTGTTTTTGTATTTTGTGTTTTTGTTTGTGCGTGTGTGATTGGAGAACCACTGGCCCTCCCGCCTCCCAGACGTCCGTGACTCAGGTGCTGATTGGAGGAGCAGCGGTGCACCTGGCCAATCCAGCTTCCCCACCTGTAGTCACTCTGCACTTAAGGCCACACTCAACACCTGTTCGGGGCTGCCAGCCTGTGTGTGGCTGGTATTTGTCCTTAAGATGTCCTTTTGAAAGTGTTTCATTGTCACAGTGGTGGCAATGAAGACAGTCCTTATGGTCCGCCTCTTTTTAATTGTCACTTCGAGGTTTTGTTTTTGTGACACTTCGTCTCATTTGAGGCAACAGTCAGTTTAGTGTTTAGTGTAGCTTTTATTTTGGTAACGTTGAGTTACCCCCTTATGTCCTGTCATGTGTCCTTATCATTTACATTCCTGTTATTAAATACTCGCTTTTCCATTTAACATCTTTTTTTGTTACCTCCCTTAGCCGAGCTGGGTCGTAACATATACGTTATTGAATATATTTTTAAAACTTCAAGTATAGTTTGTTAATTAATTACTGCAGCCCGAGTAAGTGTGATTGCTTTTCACACTTTGTTTGTGAGGTGATAACTCCATGTACAGTATCTACTTACTTCTCACATGTTTCATGTGATAACTCATCTTATGGTGCTTTCACACCAGATCATGCTGCGTCGATTTTCAATGCAAAGTCGATGGTGTCAAGTATGTGCATCTCAGGATGCACGCATGGACTGCGCGGTAGAGACGCCAGAAACTGCGCGGCAAAGGTGCAGGAGCGGAAAATCAACGCACGCAGGAGATAAATATTGCTGAGCGTTTCCTCAGGACGCTCGTGCAGCGACCAATCAGAGAGCCGCAAAGTGGTCACAAGGACATTAGTCTGAGCGAGCAGACTGAACATACTGTGAACAGACAAAACAGGAGCTACACCAGGACTAAACCAGGACTAAACCAGGGTTGACAATGGGGGACATAGTGCTTCGAGCGTGTTCGCCGATGCGGAAGTACTGTTTAATAATAAAATTTACTTATGGCGCACCTCCGTGAACGCATACTACGCACCTCCATGAACACATACTACTGTTATATAAAGTCTGTGAAAGTCTCTGAACACAGAGACCCTGCAGAGCTGCATTATTGGAGAAGAACTTTGCACAAAAAGCCGCTGGCTTAACTCCGTTAGCATCAAAGCCTGCCCGCTACTCCCGCCATTTCCGGCGGGCTCAACCGCTGGCCAGGACTTCTGGAGTAAACACCCCTGCGTCTGAAAATTAGAGAATGTGCGTCTGGTGCGCGAGGCGTCAGCGTTTAGAACTTTTGAGTAAATATTAATTATGGGCAAATGACACCAATGTTTTGGAGCTTGTGTCGTTCTTTCCGAAGCAAATTACTTCAAAACACTGCAAACGTGTCAGTGTCTCGGACTCCTCAGCCGCTGCTGCGCTGCTTCACTGCGCATATCAATGGTGTCGGTGTCAAAGAGTTTCTTGGGCTCTATGTGTTTCCTAACTTCTCATTGGATCATGGAAGAGTTACATCTCGCTTCCTTGGTGTGACTGCTGATGCGTCAACTGTTGTTTTTGAATAAAAAACCTGTGATGAACGCACAGAGTGCAGACCTTTTTTTCTGTAAATTGTTTTATATTTAAATATACTTGTATTCACTATAAGGATTTCTTAAAAGTGGGCATTTTATTGTTATTATATAAAATGAAAGGGGGGGTTAATCTGGCCTATGGGGGGTTAAAATAGCCTAGGCCAGTTTATACCCCGGGGTTTATTCTGGCCTAGGCTACTTTAACCTCGGGTATATTCTGGCCTGCTACACCGGCACATGCGCCACTGAGCACAAACCATTCATTTGAATCAGACATGTATTGAGGCAACTGCTGATCTCTCCACACCCACAACCCGAGCCCAGTGACCAGGCACTTTACCGTCAGATAGGACACAATATGCAGTCGCCCCTTACCTCCGGAATGCCATCATCCTCAACTCACCTATTCAAAAGAGCCCATTGGTACTTTATGTTTTATGGTCTCTGTTGCATCAAACTGTTTTGCTCCTGTACTGTTTTATCTTTATTCTGATTTTATGCACCTGTTGTAGCACTATGAGGTGCTACAACTTGAATTAAATAAAAAACAGTGTTGCTTTTGTTTTGTTTTACTGAGAATCATATAGAACACTGTTTGTAAGGTAATCCCACCCACACTTTAGCCGTTCATGTAGGGCTCAGAGAGACCACAGGGGGTCATCAGACAGATGGTGAGCAGGTGGTCCAAGAGGGCACTCGAGACGTAAGCCTTGTTTCCACCATCCCTACTCAGGTTGTTTGCCTTTCCATGATGCTTTAGTATCTGGTACCATATCCTAGAAACCTACCCACAACAAACCAGTATTTGAGGAAGTTCCTTGGTAACCATGGCTTTCAGCAGCCCTCTGGCCAACAACTATAACTTAGCAAACTTTACTTTCAGCTCGGCCTGGACCAAGAGGGACTAAAGAAGGACCTGGTACTGGTTAAAAAGGGTCGGAGGACCCTCTCCCTATCAGATGAGAGAAGAGGAGACACAGTAGAGAAGAGAAGAGCAGGGTTGGTGGAAACAGGGCTGTGCAAACTGTACATGGTACTGTTGTGACAGTGGTGTTAAAAGAGGCGTAATGCAGGACACATCTGGCATCTCGGGGTCACTGGTTCTTACCGGTGGGGGACATTTCAGGAACACTCGCGCTGTAGGGTCCATGCGGAAAGCGTGGCTCATTGTCGTTAATGTCCTGCACTTTGACAATGAACTCAGACTCAGGCTCCAAGGGCACGCCAGTGTGAATGTCCACAGCCTGGGCTTTGAGCGTGTAGAAGGAGCGCTCCTCCCTATAGAAAACACAGCAGTTAGAGGTGAGTCAATTAGGAGCAGGGGCTGTCCAACCACAGGCTGATATCAACAACAGATTATGAAACCCTATGACAAAAGCCCTGTTTCCGCCAGCCCTACGTTCCTTTAAGGTAAAGGTGCAATTTATTAATCCCAATCCCAGGATAATTCATCCTCTGCATTTGACCCACCCTGATGCCACTAGGTCAAATGCAGAGGAGCAGTGGTCGCCATGGTAGAGCACCCAAGAACCCATCTCCAGATGTGGATGCTCAGCTTGGTCAGGACTACTGCATGTTTTTAGTGGTAGGGGAAATCTCAACGCCCAGAGGAAATCTATGTAGGAATGGGGAATGTTCTGAGCGGGAATTCGAACCCAGGACCTTCTTGCTGAGGAGCAGGAGTGTTATCCACTCAGCCACCGTGCCGCCCTTAAATATATATTCATCTACTTTATTCAACTCTACCCTGATTGGGATTAAGACCACAGAGAATTGGCCCTGTCCCCTGGGTTTAGGACCACAGAGAAGGCCCTGTATTCTGGGTTTAAGACCACAGAGAAGGCGTTAGAGCATCTGAGACATGCCGAATAGGCCTACTCAGTATGGTCCATATACAAAGAGTTTATGATTTAAACTAGTGGGATTACTGGGACTCAGTCAGTTATTGTGTTACCTGTCGAGTCCCACCAGCGCATGGATGTCTCCGGTCAGCTGATCGATGGTGAAGATCGACCCCGCCCCTTCTCCAGAGAGCGTGTACTTCACTGCGTTCTCCCCGTGGTCCGTGTCCGAATGCAGCTGCCGACACAACACACAAAGTCCTGTTTTTAGAAATCTCCTGCTGTTAAATCTGGACACACATTGTAGTTTTTTAACCATTTCAACTTTTTAAGTTTGAATGTCATTTAAGGAATATTTGACCAACTGGAGTTTGGGCCTGATGAGTGAAGTTCTTCCAGAGGCTGCCCTTTAAACAGTGGTCACCAGTAAGAAAATATGCATAAACGTGTATTGAGGATATTTTTCTTTCACATGGATTTCAAATGGATACATTACGGGGGAAATGTCTTAAACTGTAAGTATTGAAAGAAGAGCATTTAGACAGAAGGGATGAGGGGATGTGATTGTGGAGGTGCAGAGCTGCTCTGCCACAACCTTTGAGCCCCCATCTGTTCAGTTACTAGCCTCAGAAGCTAGTCAGATTGAAACTGTGTGTGCATGTGTGTGTGTGCCTGTGTGTGCTCAGTTACTAGCCTCAGAACCTAGTCAGATTGAAACTGTGTGTGTTCCCCGCTTGAAGTCTAAAGCACTATATGCGAGGAAATCTGACCTAGGTGTCAGATACAGTAACTTAATAAAAGTTCAGACAGACAGAAATAGTTCTAGCGGTAGGGTTGTTAAATGTGGTTTAATGAACGTCAGATCAATCTCGTCTAAATCGCTTCTCATAAACGAACTTATTATAGGCAAGGCAAGGCAAGGCAAGTTTATTTATATAGCACAATTCATACACAAGGCAATTCAAAGTGCTGAACAAAACAAGAAAGCATTAAAATCATAAATTATCACAGAACATTAAAAAGAAAGATAAAAATATAAAATCCCTCAGTTGTATGCACAGTTAAACAGAACCGTCTTTAACCTGGTTTTAAACATTGTCAGAGAGGAGGCCTGTCTCACATCTTCAGGAAGACTGTTCCAGATTTTAGCAGCATTAATCTGAAAAGCAGCCTCCCCATGTTTAGTTCTGACTCTGGGCACTAACAGGAGTCCAGTCCCTGTGCTCCTCAGAGTCCGGGCTGGTTCATATGGGACTAACATGTCACTAATATATTTTGGTGCGAGGCTATGGAGAGACTTGTACACAAGCAGAGCTGTTTTAAAGTCTATTCTCTGAGCCACAGGAAGCCAGTGCAGAGACCTGAGGACTGGACTAATGTGGTCGTACTTCCTGGTTCTTGTCAGGACTCGAGCTGCTGCATTTTGAATGTACTGCAGCTGTTTTACAGCCTGTTTGGACAGACCTGTGAGCAGGCCATTGCAGTAGTCTAACCTACTGGAGACAAATGCATGGATAAGAATCTCCAAGTCTGCTTTAGACACTATGTTTTTGATCCTGGCAATGTTTTTTAGATGGTAAAAAGCTGCTGATGTTACTGATTTGATGTGGCTATTAAAATTTAAGTCTGAGTCCAGTATTACCCCTAGATTTCTGACCTTGTTTGAAGGTTTTAGGGAGAGAGACTGTAGGTGACAGATGACGCTCTCTCTTTGTTTCTGGGGACCAAAGACAATCATTTCAGTTTTGTCTGCGTTTAGCTGAAGGAAGTTGTTTTGCATCCACTCACTGATCTGTTGGATACAGTGAAGGAGTGAGTCCACTGGTCCATGTTCTCCTGCAGTCAGTGAGACATAGATCTGAGTGTCGTCTGCATAGTTATGATAGGAAACTTTGTTTCTGCGTATTAACTGACCTAACGGCAGCATGTAGAGATTGAACAGAAGAGGTCCCAGGATCGACCCCTGTGGGACTCCACAGGTCAGGGCCATATGATCTGAGACACAGTTTCCAATCTCCACAAAGTACTTCCTGTCTTCAAGGTAAGACCTAAACCAACTTAGGGCGGTGCCAGTGACGCCAACCCAGTCCTCTAGTCTCTGTAAGAGGATCTCATGGTCGACGGTGTCAAAGGCAGCACTTAGATCTAACAAGATTAAGATTGAGACTTTGCCTGCGTCAGTGTTCAGCCGGATATCGTTTGTAACCTTAACGAGAGCAGTCTCAGTGCTGTGGTGGGGTCTAAAGCCGGACTGAAACATATCAAATGAGTTGTTGATTATAAGAAATCTAGTAAGCTGTAGGTAGACAACTTTCTCAAGGACTTTCCCCATAAATGGCAGATTTGAGATGGGACGATAGTTGTTAAGTACAGTGGCATCCAGACTGCTCTTTTTTAGCAGGGGCCTGATGACTGCAGTTTTCAGGGCCTTTGGGAATATTCCAGAATGAAGGGACATGTTTACTATCTGTGTGAGTGAAGGTGACAGACTGCTCAGAACAGACTTCAGAAATCTAGTGGGTAGTACATCCAGGCTGCATGTGGAGGAGCTCAAACTGGAGATTATCTCTTGGACAGTTTTATCATTTACAGGTGCAAAGTGAGTTAGCTCAGAGAGCCTTTCTGGCTGTTGGATGGTTATCTGTGGATTGGAGACAATGGCGCTTTTGATGCCTTGAACCTTGTCATTGAAAAAATTAGCAAACTCATTGCATTTACGTTTGGAAGTAAGCTCTAATGGCATTTGAACAGGGGGGTTTGTTAATCTATTAACTGTTGAGAACAGAACACGCAGATTGTTGCTGCAGCCTTCAATCATTTCAGAAAAATACCTTTCTCTCGTACTACGTAGCACCCGGTTAAACTCGCACAACTTATCTTTGAAGATCTCGTAATCTACCTGGAGGTTGGACTTGCGCCACTTCCGCTCGGCCCTCCGGCACTTTCTCTTTTGTGCCCTGACCGAGTCTGCTTTAGCCCACGGCGCCTTCTGCTTATTTTTCACTATTTTAACCTTCACAGGGGCAACGGTATCCAGAACATTCAAAACACTAGAGGTGACAGAGTTAAACAGTTCATCTACAGTAGAATACGATGCATTCTCAAAGTTTATCATTTCCATAAATAGTTCACTCGTATTTTCATTTATGCGCCTTCTTCGAACAGTTGCAGAGTCCACTGGTGGTTTGTTAGTGAAACACATGTCAAAAAAAACACAGAAATGAACCGAAAGAGCAACATCGACCACGTTTACATTTGAAATAATCACCCCCTTTGTAACTAACAGATCTAGAGTGTGCCCTCTGCTGTGGGTGGGGCCACTTACGTGCTGAGTGAGGTCAAAGGATTCAAGTACAGAACTCAGCTCATTTGCATTTCTGTCATCAACATTATCCACATGAATATTAAAATCACCTGTAATAACCAAACTATCAAAATCTGTGCATACAACTGAAAGCAACTCGGTAAAATGATCAATAAAACTGTGACATGACTGCGGTGGCTTGTATAGGACAACGAAGAGTATTGGAGGAGATTGTTTTTGTTGTATTTTAAAAGACACATATTCAAATGACGAAAACTTCCCAAGAGACATTCTATGGGAGACAAAGTGGTCTCTAAAAATGGCAGCTAAGCCTCCTCCTTTTTTGTTTTCCCGTATTTCAGATTCAAACTTGAAATTTGGTGGTGATGCTTCTATTAAAACTGCATTTTCTGAATTTTGGTCAAGCCAAGTTTCAGCCATGAACATAAGATCAAGATTATGAGAAGAAATAAAATTATTGATTAAAAAAAGACTTGTTACAAAGAGATCTGACATTAAGCGTAGCAAGTTTCAAAGTTTCAGTATCAGCGGTTGCGGTCGGCTGATTCTTACACGGAACAAGAATTAGATTTTCCAGATTAGACTGATTAACTCCAGATGTTTTTCTGTAATGTATTCTTTGTGTTATCACTAAGGGAATGGCACAGGTGGCTTCATGACAGGGCCCCAGCCGGGTCTCTCCTCTAACTAGACTGCCAGTGGCTGCGAAGCAGAGACCCTGTGCATCCTAGTGTTTAGAGAAAAGAGGGGTAGGGGAAGGCGGGGGAGGAGGATGGAGAGGTGAGTGGCTTTTGGGTGTTGAACGAGGGGGGCAGGGAGGTGGATGGGTTTTTGGTGATGGGTTAGGGGAGGGGCAGGCTGAGTTGGGTGGTGGACGAGGGGGGAGTGGAGGTGGAGGGTTTCTTGGTGCTGAGTTAGGGGGGGGGAGGTGGGCTAAATGAGCAGGAGGGGGGGGTGGAATACTTATGGGGTTAGAGGAGGGACGGGTGGATTTTGTGGGAAAATTTGAGTTGGACGCCCTAGGTGGCTTTGGAGGTACGTATGGGGAGTAGTTTTGAATGTTAGATAGGACTCTTGATCTGGCTACAGTGGGTGTGAGAGGAATAGTCTTCATCGCCGATCTTATCATGCCTGCAGAGTGTTCCGGTAAATCCAGTAGTGAAGGCGGGGATAGAAAACAAAGGGAAAGGTCGTCCTCATTTTCCCTAGATGGAGTGGATGTAGCGGGGGGGACCCAAGCCGGGTCCATGGAAGGTGATGAGGGAGTCTTTGGTGGAGACAGAGGTGGTTGAGGAACCCCCAGTACAGGCCTGACTGTAGCCTGGAGTAATGGGGGAAGCTTCACGGGAGCTGTAGGTGGGGAAGGTGCTGCTGAAGATGACGGAGCAGCCACTGCTGCTGCTGAAGATGATGGAGCAGCCACTGCTGCTGCTGAAGATGATGGAGCAGCCACTGCTGCGGCTGTATCCACTGCTGCTGCTGAAGATGATGGAGCAGCCACTGCTGCTGCTGTATCCACTGCTGCTGCTGAAGATGATGGAGCAGCCACTGCTGCGGCTGTATCCACTGCTGCTGGTGGTGCTGTATATGCTGATGGCGCTGATGAAGATGTGGCAGCTGCTGATGATGCTGGGGGTGGAGGCGTTGAGCTCTTTCGAAGCCGTGGAGGTGTTGAGTTCTTTTGAGGCGGTGGGGGTGCAGAGACCTCGGGAGTCGGTGGAGATGGTCGTGATGTCTGTGCCCTTTGCTTCTTCTTTCTCCCTTTCAACGGCTGCACGCACTGCGCAGGCTGAGGTCTTAGGGCAGATGCAAAGTTATCCATCAGCACTTTTACTCCGTAGTTGTTCAGATGTGGGCCTTTTTCTTCAAAAAGCTCGTGCCTATTCCAGAACAGATTAAAGTTTTCAATGAAGCCAAGTCCTCTGCGTGAACACTCATTGAGTAGGAATGTGTTTAGCTGATACAGACGGCTAAACTTCTCCATTTTTCCATCTATATTTGGCAGTGGGCCACTAAGAAAAAATTGTTATGTCCATAAGGACACAGTTTTGTTCCTTGGGGGAGGCGCTGCGTATATAGAGCTTTGTTTGTTATTGTGATTTCTTCTTCCAAAAGTGGTGGAAAAGCGGTTTTTGTAATTAAAGATTTTTGCTGTGGCATGTATGGACATCTTGTTATCATTAGCTTTGCCTTGTTTGGGGCTTGGCACCCATATGTGTTCCAACAATTGTCTCTGTTGATTTTGGGGAAAATGAAATAGCGTCATCATAACTTACGTTCTGTCCATTGTGGTCCATTTCCTTTCACTGGTATTGTTGTGTTCAGCCCAATTCTGATTCAAGCATAAACTTCGGTCTTGGAGAAGTTTTAGCTCCTGTTTGAGTGAAAAACAGCCGTCGCAAAGTTTTGTTTCTTTCCCGTCCTCCGACATGCTGTAAGTTAGGTAAATTCCACAGTCTTGTGTTGAAGTTTGTAAAAGGAGTAATCCGTGTTTTGTGGAATAAAAATGTAAGCAAAAATGATTAAAGGAGATAAAAAAGCAGCAAGCGAGGCGCAGCACGAGAATCTGACTCTGTAGTCTCTGTATGCAACTAAAATCAACAGATCTACATGTCGTCTGGTGCTGTATGACGCATGCTATTTTGCTCAAGCATAGTTAACAACGCATAGTCTGAAGTAACATTGGAAGTTGACAAATATTATCTTGGCAGGTCTGTGTACACTGAGTATTGTAACAACCTGTCCGGCCGATGGTGGAGGCTAAAAGATGCAGCTCATGGCGAATTGTGTTCAGCTCTGCCCAAAACGGCAAAACGTAATCGGCCGCGCCGGACATCGCTGTGCTGGACTCGGAGGCTCTTCTGGAGAAGTTCTTCTTAGTCGCGGGCCTCAACTATTTAAATAGAACACTGCAGACTGTTGCGAATGGATTTTAGAATAGCCGTAAGTATAACAGGCAAGCTTGAGGACCAGAAATGACCGCAAAAGGGGTTGAGTGGCGTTTTAGCCATGCAAAACTCAACATCTGTAGTGGCGAAAATGTTTTGTTGCCTTATGAAATCTTATTATCTCTAGCATTTGACTCTGGATCCATTTGGGCTGAGTTTTGACCCTTTCTCGTGTGTAATACACAAAGATATCTTTCACACAGAGGTTGTCTCAGAAATAGTGTGGTTTGGCCTCTAGGAAATGGGCAAAAGAAACGCATTTATCCTTGATTGTATATTACTAACTTGT